ATTGCTACGAGTATCTATTTGTTTTTTTTTACACGTTAAAGTGTGACGAAAGACCTCATGCTGTTGTGGCAGTTGGTGACTCATAATGTTAAAAATATCTTAAGGCAAATTTCAAGCAATTTGGCAAAAGCACTCTCTAATTTGTCTCTGTGTTTAAAGTTCCATGTGAGTGAAAGATGTTTTCTTGTTGTTTTGAAACTATGAAGAACATATGAATGAATGCTGAAGCTCTGTAGACAAAGTGTTTGTCATGTCATCGGAGTAACATCAATGAGTGTCTGCCAAGTCTTTGAGTACCTGTCCCTTTCTGAAATTGGGAATTAGCACCTCTGTTGGTGGCATTATGGGGCCCCTTGGTATTGTATGTGTATGTTGGGGCCCCTTGTGTACACCTGGGAAGTACAAATCTTTATTCAGTTTTTTTTCTTTTCACCCTTTTCCCAACTTCTGATGGTGCCCCTTTGCCGCTGGTGCCTAACAAAACGTGCTTAATCTGCTAAAATGGTTAATTACGGCACTGGTATAGTGAGGTAGGTAGGTAGGTAGGTAGGTAGGTGTAGGTAGGAGGTAAGGTACGTTTAAGTAAGTAGTAAGTAGTAGGTTAGGAATGACACAGATGTTATGTGTTTACGCGCACTACCAGGACTGTGATATAAGGGTTCGCTTCAGAATGACATCTCCAACTGTTCTCATCCACTCTAAAATACTTATCCGACTCACTGTAAATTGAGATTTTCACAATTAGGGATGAGTGTGGAAGAGTTTTTAGCCCTCCATTGGACAATGACGAATCATTGTCTCACTCCGATTGAGGCCATTTACCTTAAAAGCTAACAGCGGACCGGACAATGAACTGACCATGAAATAAATATCACGAGCGGGGGTGCCACCATGAATGCATCCCCAGGATAACAGTGCATGACGTTGCCAACGTTGGCCGCCAAAACGCTGTCTCAGCGAAAAGCCACACCCATGCCAACGGTGGCCACCGTTGGTGCAAACGTTGGCCCAAAAACGGATTTTTTGCTCAGTTGGGATGACGTTGGCCGCAACGTTGGCCCAACGTCATATGCCAACGTATGGCCCAACGTCATACTGGCCAACGTTGGCCCAACGTCATATTGTCAACGTTTGGCGCGCAACGTCATATTGGCCAACGTTGGCCCACGTCAATATCCAACGTTGGCCCGCAACGTCATACTGCCAACCGGTTGGCCCAAACGTCATATTGTCAACGTGGCCGCAACGTCATATTGGGGCCGCACTGGCCAACGTCAGTATTTGTCAACGTTGGCCAACGTCATATTGCCCACGTTGGCCAACGTCCAAATCTGCCCACGTTGGCCCAACGAACATTTTGCCAATCGTTGGCCCAACGGCTTTTTGCACCTCATTGTGGCCAACGTTAGTTGATCCCCCCTCAAAACACTCTATCTCTTTGGTTCTCTCTCTCTCTCTGCTCTCTCACACACACAGCACACACGCGCGCGCAGCGCACAACCTCCTCTCTCTCTCTCTCTCTCTGAACAATACACACTCCCCCCCCCCTCGGCCCACACACCCCAACCCACAACCCCCCCCCCTCCCCTCTCTCTCAACACACACACGCAAACAACCACAAAAACACGCGACAACCTTTCTCTCCCTCTCTCTCTCTCTCTCCACTCTCCGTCCACCACACAACACGAAGCAAACACGCAACGCTCCTCTCTCTCTCTCACTCGCATACACACCGCGCACACTCTCTGCCCTCTCTCTCTCTCTCTCTCTCTCTCTCATCATCTTCATCTCTCTCAGCTGACACATACACACTCCCTCTCGGTCTCTTCTCTCTCTCTGTCACACGCAAACTACAACAACAAACACAAACACCTCTCTCTCTCTCTCTCCTCTCTCTCTCTCTCTGCTGACACATACCTCCTCTTACGTTAAACATGAAATTAGTTTAAGGGAATTAAAAATAACCAAAAATGTTTATGTTGTCCCGAAAATAAAAATTCATCTAAATAAGAAGGATAAAAAGATTCAAGAATAACATTAATTCAATAAAATAACTAAAAATAAACAAATAAATAAATAAATAACCGGGAATAAAATTTAATTAAACCCACATGACAATAATACAAATACTAACACAAATTTAAATACCCGGGAATAAAATTAAAATTAAACCCACATGACAATAATACAAATTAAAGTTTAGACTAAATCATTAATCGATCGAAAGCGCTCACTCGAACATATTGTAGAGCACAGTAAATAAACAAATAAATAAATAAATAACCAGGAACAAAGGTTAATTAAACCCACATGACAATAATACAAATTAAAGTTTAGACTAAATCATTTAAATCGATCGAAAGCGCTCACTCGAACATATTGTAGAGCACGGTGCCGTTCTCTCCCTCGTCGAGGTCGATAGCCTCCAGCGTCATCACCGTGTGACCGACCGGCTCGTTCGTGGCGAGCGCGATCTCGTAGCTCGACAGCTGGAACACGGGGCCGTGGTTGTTCACGTCCAGGATGGTGATCGTGAACGTGCACGTGGCCACCAGGGGGATCGCCGTGCTCGCGTCCGGGAGGATCGCCTCGGCCGTCACCTGCGAGAACAAGCGAACGCTGCATCGCTGTCGCTGCCACTGCTGCTGCTGTTGTCGCGAGAACTGCATCGCGCCGCAAAACGTACAGCAGACCATAATATATATGTGTATGTATATATATATATATATATTGATTTTTCTAGTTCAGATAGTTCTACAAAAACTTTGTTGCCCTCA